CCATTTTTAAGTGTTTTTAAATGGATCCATATGTTGGGCTCAGGCTGTTTGGGCCCCAACAGAAAAAGTTCAGTTTTTTTTTTTTTTTTCTTTTTCATTTTCTGTTTGGTTGTCAGGAAAAGTTAGGAAAATCCACAGCAAAATTTTTGTTTTAATTGTTTACACAAATGAGACAATGCTTTATGCATATTTCCAATCCATTAAAGATGATAAGAACTTTCTAGATCCAAAAAACAATGCTGAGAACTTTGTTCATGGATAAGAACAATGGCAAACAGAAAGCATATTTATAGAGATGCTAAATTTATTCATATATTATGTACCGAGCAACAAAAGGGCAAAACATATGGATTCAAGAAAACAGAAAAAATTGCAAAAATTGAAGTCTATATAACTGGTGCAGGTTTTCACGGCAAAACTGGCGCACATTTATTGCTTATTGTCCAAGAAATGTTTCTCTTTGCAAAAAATATCATTTCACGAACTCTTTTTTCATGGCATTGGTGTATCTCTAGGTGGTCTTTTCCCCAAAGCGTTGAGGGGTATACTTTTCCATGAGCATAGTAGCTTCTTGCTCCAACTGTTTCTCAAGCTCAAGCAATTCCCCCCAATACCTCTGCATGATTTCAGATTTCTTCTCTTGATGAATTTTCATCAGCTTCTGCCTCTCTGCTTCAAATTCTTCCATCTTTTCATCTTGGAATGTCATGAATCTAGTTGTTTCCTCGGTCCTGACAGAATGTTTCAAAACATTAAAAGTTTATAACTGTATCAAGTTGTGCTTTATACGTAGAACATGTAATGTTTCCCTTGACAGTTTAGCTTGTGTCTGTAGCACAAAATGGCTTACATGAAAACAGAGTACAGTATGGTTAGATAGAAAGTACAGAGTTTGCTCCTAAATGACACAAAATTCATTTTTTATAGGCTATGTGATTTGAGATAATAGGAGATAAAATTGATCATATACAAAAAATTTTATCTAAAAGATAAAAGCTTCTCAAAGGACGATATTCAAAGCAATGTTACCTGTTCTCAACTTCCATGACTGAAGCATTTGCATTCGACTTCTCAATTTTCTCTTGTGCAGCCTTCCACAACTTCTCAAAATTATCTTCCTTTGTATCTAAGGTTCGGTAGATGATGTTAATTTGCTCCTTGAAAAATTCTTCTTGAGCATCCATCTGTAAAAATCATATATTGCAACGGTAAGTCTAATTCTAAATAACCCAACACCAAGAAGAATGGTAGTAAGTAGCCAAGATTAGTTGCCATGGCACACTGGAAGAAGAAGAAGAAACTTTGGACTACACAATCTGTTAAACTAAATTATCTTAGCAAAATCTTACTATACCACAACAGAAAAATAAGGGAAGCAGAGAAAATAATAGAACCTCTTCTTTGTTCTGCTCATGTTGCAATTTAGTTCGCTGCTTCAAAATATGATTTTCTTTTGTTGTCTGGCGTAGCTTCTCACTGACTCTGCCTAGGGACTTTGCAAGAGCTTGTGACTGCCTTTGTTCTCTATCCATCTTCTCTTTAAGCTGTGTCACCTGCTGACTATCATAATTTATTTGTGTTATCTGTTTCTCAACTGTCTCCAGGTATGATGTCATCTCATATTTCAGCTTTGATTTCCCTGGTTCATTTCACAGATTGACAAAAAAAAAAAAGGCTGCATGAGAGAACTCCATTGCACACATGGGGGAGGTGAGCTTACCAAGCAAGACATTTAAAAGAAGTTAAATTAAATATTTTGTATTCTTGACTGAAGCATAACCAACCACAACTGTTAGTAAAAGCCTTCAGCAAGAAATATGAGGTGATGAAGAGAAACAGAGATAGAATTTACACCTTGATTGTGCTGGTTAAAAATATCCAAATCTTCTTTTAAAGCCAGGTAGCCGTAGAGTTGGCGCTTCCCACCTGGACATAAGGGAATGCGAGAAGAATTCCAAGAAGTTCTTTCCTTTTGTTTGTTTGCCTGATCCCAAGCATCTCTATCTTTTCCTTGCTCTTTAAAATGCTTATGGAGACGTACAGCCTCTAAATAACCTGCAACCGAACTTTCAAAGATCAGAACACTCATACCCCGGTGCCCTTTTGGGCCATAGGAGTGTCTAGCTTTAATTGCAGCATATGAGCTGAAGTGATCAAGCAGTTCTTGATTCCCCATCCCTATCCACTGCAGAAAACAATATTCCGTACAAAAAATGAATTAATGTCAAGTCAAGAAATATTCCACTCAATAACCAAAAGTCAATAAATAGAAAGCTATATTCTATAGTTGAGCTAATTTGTGATTTTAAGCAAGGATGCGAGAATGACCTTGCTATTTTCATCATATTCATATCTTGTATTCATTATGATAACCATTGGAGGCCAAACTATTTCATAATCTTTAACTCTCTCATTCAGCCCTTCCCATTTTCCAAAGACTTCACCTAGTGCTGTAATGGAAGTTCCCCTCTTGCGCAATTCCTCATCCAAGAGAGTTGCAAATTCTCGGTGCAGTCTTGCTCTTCTTGCCTTTTTAGTCTTGGCATGTATCAATATGGGTTCAAGGCCACGATACCAGTCTATGGCTCCTGGACCCCCTTGGCAAGCAGGGCAGTGCCACTGCCTTTCTGGTGACTTGAGCTCCTCAATGGTCAACTTATCAAAAGACTCAAAAAATTTTCTGAACCACTTGGTTCTTTTGCGGTCCTCATGGCTTGCATCTGAATCATAATCATACTCATCAAGATCATCACTGTCATAGACAACATCAGAGTCGTCATCATCATCATACTCAGCAACTTCACTCTCATCATCAAAAACATTGCTGACTTTTGATTCAGTTTTGATGCAGACACCTTGCAAATTATCAGACTGACTGGGACCAGATTGAGAAAGGCATTGTAATCCATGTTCTGATACAGGTTGAGGGCTTGCACTTCTAGTTCCTTTGGAACCCCATGGATCAGCAGTTTGAATTGGCAAAGCATTACCAATAGCCAGCCCTGATTCACACTTCCCTTTCACCCCCAATATCTGCATCCCTTTTGGATCTCCCTCAGCAGGTTGAATTGGCAAAGCATTACCAACAGTCAGCCCTGATCCACACTTACCTTTTACCCCCAATATCTGCATCCCTTTTGGAGGATCTCCCCTTATACTAGCTAAAGAATTTTTTGAAAACCAGGTTTTTGAAACAACTCTGTTCATGGGCCCCAAAGAGCTAACATTGTTGTCAATATCTTTTTCAGAACCAAGTTTTATGTCAGCAACATTCTGACTTGGCTGATTAACTTGACAACTAGGCCCTTTATAGACACTAGCCAAAGAGGGAAATGGATCAGCAGAATCTGCCATGAAAACTTCTAATGCTTACTTGGAACTTTTCAGTCAGTGACCTCGTATAGGATCACCGTTTGATGAACAAGATCAGTCAAGTCCCAGGTGATAAAACAACTCAGGAACCTATATGATCCACAACGAGGTGAAAAAGGTCAACCAGGAGGAAAGCCACATGTGCATGCGCTAAGTTCATGAAGATTTCTAGTAGACTATGAGCTAATTATGAACTACATTCTCATCATTCAATAATCATCTGCAACATTAATATAATATTAGCTAGACTACATATATCATCAACTGACTTACTGAAATCATAGACAAGCAGCAGCACTTCATAGTATATAGGCAAGTCAAGTAATAAGGGAATTTTGCGAGAAATCTCAATAAAGATCAATTAAAACAAGCTTTTTTGAAGGAAATTCAACTTGTATTAGCAATATATATGAAACAGATACAAAAAATAAAAATAAAAAATCATAATACCTCAGGCAATAGCATTCTCCTCTGTGTATGATTTAGTTATTAAACAGGTAGAAATCTAGAAGACAGATGATAGCTAAGCACCTGTTTTACATTAGGAGTATACAACACAGAATTAGACTGTAGGATTAATAAAGTATTTTTAAATTTATTTAGTCAGGTTAAGTTTGAACCTCATTTGCCTAAACCTTATGCAATACCAGAGTTAATAGCCAACTACACAAAATAGGCCAATTTAGTGGCAAACTAGAGCCATAAATGAGAAATAAAACTCACATTGTTGACGCTGGATGATTTACTGCACTCAACTAGGGTCAAGAGAATGGATTTAAGCTTACCTCTCGGGGGGAAAAGGAAAATGGAAACCGAGACAGAACATAAAAATTTGACATTGGAGGAGATTAGCAATCATTTCATTACCTAAATTGTTAATCATGAGAGATTCAGAGAAAAGGAGGTTGTAATCAGAAAACGGATTGAAACTTGGGAGAAGCATTGAAGAGAAGTAATCAAGAAAAACCCACATTGCAGATGGATGACTGCCTGCACTCACCTGGGAGTCAATAAAAGGGGATAAGTTTATTGCTCGGAAAATGAAATGAACCCATATGGAACGTGAGATTTTGTTCTATTGAGGAAGTCATCAATCATTTCATTACCTGCATTGTTAACCATGATAAAACAAGAGAAAGCAGCTGCAATCGCTAAAATTCATCTCATACTGAAAGCACCTAGCAAAATCCCCACTAACCTAACAACTCTTTGGGCCAGGTCTATCATTTGTTAGCAATGGTTCATCCTGATTCTTTTATACCAATCACAATCAAATAGATCAATGCAACATGCTATGTATCCAAAAAGAATATCTTCTTCCGATTTTTCTCCAAACAAACCCCCAAAACCACTCAACTTGTAGCCAATGGGATACATAAAAGAAGATTCCCATCATCAGATGCATTTACAGAAACCCATGATGAGCAAAACAGAGAGAAAAAAGGAATCATCTTGAGAACATATCAAGGAACATGAATCTTCAGACATGCAAAGTCAGCATTTCCCTGTGAAGATTGCCCCTTCTTTAACGTTCAAATATCAAAATTTGCATTTCATCGATTCAGAAATGGAAGAACAGCAATCACGAAAGAGATTGTTAAAGGTAGAAACTTTACCTGAGATTCTGAGAATATCTCCGTACGTAGGCAAAGGAAACAAGTTGGGGATGAAAATGTAGAGTGGGGAAGGAAGAATAACTACGGAGAGAGGAGGGCAATGTATATAAAGCAGTGGATGTGGTGCCCACTCTAGCTGATAACGATGCCGCAAAATTCATGCAGCACCACCGCGGGCAAATGAATAACCTGATTTTGGGAATAAAAATATATAATAATAAAAATTTAGTAAATTGGGAGTTGGTTCAGTGATTAAAGACACGATAAGATCTTGAAATTTTCAAGTTCAAATCTCAATCTTAAACCGTAGATTTTCAACATACATTTACTAATTTTAGCCTAATATGGAAGTCAGCGAAAAACAAATACTTATTTAATGGTGAATTAACCCTCTTGATATCAATTTAATACCACAATTAAAATTCTAAATTTATGAATAAAATAATACAAATAGAAATTTTATAAGAAAAATGTTAAAAGACCAATGATGTGTTAGTTTGATTTAAAAGAGTTCAGATTCTTTTAAATAAAATCTTGAATTCGAGTTTTGTGAATGAAAAAACAAACGCCAGGAAAACCTCTCTCTTAATGGAGTCCAACATGGTTCAATTTCAAATTAATCGAGATTCAATGTAATTATTAGATACCAAAAGATTAATACAAACAAAAATATTAAAAGGAGATTTTACCATGAATAGTTAGTAATTTGTGATTTGAATTAAAAAGGAAGCGTTAAATTTTAGTCACACGAATTTGATTAAACCATTTTGTCTTTTCACAAAATATAAGAAGAAACGGTTTTGGTTAAAAATTAAAAATAAAAAATTTAGAAAAACAAAAAAAAAATGTTTAGTAGATTTAATATCATAATTATACTCATTTTAGTATAATAGAGATGCTAAAATCCTAAATTTTCTTCTTTTTTTTTTATAGGTATATAGTAGAAATTAAATTTTAAATTCATAATTATAAGTACAAATAATTGTAATACAAAACTACATGACTCATGGTTAAGACCTTGAAGTTTCATGATCAAAATAAAATAAAAAATAAGATTTATACCATGACTTGAGAGTAATTAATGATAACAATAAAAAAAAAGTGTTAATTTTGAGTCATATCACGTGAATCTTACATAATAAATTTATTTTGAATGTGAGAAATGTGAGTGAAACGGTTCACTCAATTATCAAGAAAGGAAACTTGGATGAAACTAAAGAAAGTGTTGAAGAAAGTTTGTCTTCATACAATGAACATATTGGTGATAGATACTAAAATGGAAAACATTAAATTTGAGCTACGTAACAAGAAATAGGAAGAAATGAGAGGAAAAAAGGTTAAATCTCTAATTTGGTCCCTAAACTAAAACAATTCCCAATTTGGTCCTTAAACTATTGTATGGATTCTTGATTTGGTCCCTGCTGTTTACCAAATTGCCTCTAGTTGGTCTTTCCATACAAAAACAGTTGACGTGTTTCGTTATTAACATGACATGTGACCGTTAAGTTATTGTTTTGTATCATTAAGTTATTATTTTTCATCGTTAAATACTAGACATGTCAATTTTTTTTGTACGGAATGACTAATTTTAGGTAAATTGGTAAATAGTAAGGACTAAATTGGGGGTTCGTACAATAGTTCAGGGATCAAATTAGGGATTTTTTTAGTTTAAAGACCAAATCAATGGTTCATACAATAGTTCAAGAACCAAATTGAAAATTTAACCAAAAAAAATGAAATTTTTGAAGAGAATTTGTCTCCATACAAATATCAATACATTTAATATTATAATTAAATAAAAATATAATATTTATGGGAGTAATTAGTAAATTTGAGTTACATGAAACTCGTAGAATCTGTTTCACTTCTGAGAAATACAAGGAAACAGTTTCGCTCAAAATTTAGAAAATGAAACTTGGATGAAACAAAAAAAACAAATACCGAAGAAAGTTTCTTCATACACAAACACGAGCAAATTTAATATCATAATTGCATACGTTAAAGATATGGTAGAAATTAACTCTAAAATATTAGTTTTTAATATTCAAATTATGCCTTGTCTATTTTTTTTTAATTTCTTGTGATTTGTAATTTAGTTTAGTTGTAGTTGTGATATATGATCGTTGTTGATATGTGATTTACTTTAAAATATTATATAACATTACCACTAAAGAACAACAATTTGATGTCATGTATGTTGTTCCTCAAATATTTTTCTCCATCTCCTTATTATGTCATTGTTGTATATCGGTCACAAAATTAAATAAAATAATAATTAGTGAACTTATAAAAAAAATATCAATAAAAAATTATCATCAAAATAGATGTGAAAACTTATTTACTTTAAAGTGATTTATGCCTCTATAGAGAGTAGATTGACTAGTATAGTAGAGATATATATAGAATGTCGCCCTAAGATTGTATAGTTTTATAATTACACTCTATGAATCTGCATCATTCATTAAGTCATCTAACTTAAAATATCCTTATTTGCTCAATAATATTTAGAAGATAAAGTAAGTAAGAAAAATAGAAGAATGTGAAGGAACACACTTAGTTGAGTAAAAAGACATTTGATTTATAAGATTCATGATCATGCAACTCTCATTTGTAAGTTAATTATAAGAGTAAATTAGACAATTATTATATAATAATTTGCCCTTAAGTAGGATAATTAACCTATAACGATTAGTTTGAACAAATCCGAACAATAAATTTAATTTATAAAATATATTATATTATTTTTTTATTAAAATATTTAAGTTTAAGTTCCAACAATATACCCCTTATATATGAAAAGAATTCCTAAATACTTAACTTTTTAATTAATACAATAAGCATGGATTCTAAATTGGTAAACCTTTAAATTTATCGAGTTTAAACTTTAAACATGGATAAAAAGAGTTATATTTTATTATATCGAGAATCATCAAATTGAAGTTAAAAGAAAAACATTTGTGATCAATTGTGTAAAATATTTTCAAATTTTTATTTTCATTTTTATCTGTCAGGGTTCTCCATTGGACTATATAAGAACAAAGTTCACTGTTTTCTAATTTTTAGAGTATTGGTTTGGTGAATGTAAAAACTAAGTAGTTTTTCAATATCAATTGTACTTTTTTGTATAGTCCAACTAGGGAAATTAACAAAATACTATTAATAAATAAATGTAAATTTTTTTTATTAAGAATGATTTAGTAATTAGTACCTAAATTATATAAAAAATACAATTTATACTAAAATATGCATTTCCAACAACTAAAAAAATAATTTAAATATAAGAATTTAGAGTCCCTACTCCTTATCTCTCCCGTCACTCTTTTCTTCTTCCTTTCTCTCATTCCATTCTCTAGTAGTGAAGAATGGCATGTTTATGTGAGAGAAGAGTAAATTTTTTTGATTTTGAGGGGTATTTTTGTAAGTGACAAATAGCATGCCCATGTAAGAAAAGAAAAATTTTCTTTCAGTTTGAAGGGCATTTTGTAAATTTATTTTGTTTCGAGCTACATTATGTATTTTAGGAATTATTATTATTTCTTTCATTTTGCAATATCAATGTATTTTAGGATTTATTTAGCATAATTCCATTTTGATCAAAATGGAATTCCTATTGAACCAAAATTAAATAAACAAGCAAATAGAATCCTTATTAATTCAATCTTCATAATTTTATTGAATGCTCCATATATTCTTATTCTTAAATAATTTTTCTTTTCACTTGCAAAATTTAAATTCACTTATCATCATTACAAACCTATGACATTTTGCTATTCTTTCATCTCGTTTCTTTTTTTCTTGGTTTCCTTTTTGCTTTCTTTAAATTTGGAAAGTGATTGGCCATAGTCAGCTGTAACCATATATGTTATTTTTGAAATGGGGTTCTTTTTTTTTTTTT